GGGCGGGACTGGACTGGACTGAAACAATATACGGCCTGTGGGGTCAGGCCACGGCCTGGTCCCACAGGCCGAACTGGCAAATAGCCAAATAGGCCCTGGCTGTAGGCCAGGGCAGATGAAGGCCCGCTGCAGTGCACGCAAGAATTCATTTATGTCGAAAATAGCCTGAATCATCATCCTATCATCCCACATTTTCTTGTGTTGTTCATTCTTCCCCGTTGCTGGGGTGTTTCGTTTTGCGGGCCTACTGTATGGTTCCTTTTTCTTTACTATGGATATGGTAGATTTGTTGTGGTGTGGTAACCTTGTCTGCATCCCGGTTGGTTTTGTCCCGTTGTTCGGTCTATTTCACGAGCGTAGCGGTGCTTCATGTGGGACCAGTCATTGTTTTTTTTTTATTGTCTTGGCATCCTGATTGGTTGTTTCCCGTTGTTTGGCCTGCATGGGGGCGGTGCCTTTATTTGGGAATCGTCATCCGGGATTGCCTTTTATACCGGTCCTCCGGGTTCTTTTTGGTATCCTAGTTGGTTGCTTCCCGTTGTTCGGCCTATCAATTGGGGTGGTGCTTTTATGTGGGAATCATCATGTAGGATTGTCTTTTATGATGTCCCGGTACGAATTGCTTACGATGACGCCGAATAGGAATGCCAACTTCTTGATGTCGAACAAGGCCATCTGCTGTGTATAGATATGTATCTGGGACTTTTTTTGATTTCTTTGCAGACAAGAATGTTTTGACATCCTGGTTGGTCTTGTCCCGTCGTTTGGCCTGTGTGTGCTGGGGCGGTGCTTGCATGTGGGACTTGTCATCTGGGGACGATCTTTGGGCCTGCGGCTATTCCCTCACTCCTTTCAAACGAGGCAGGCCGTGCACGACGCTGTTAGTCAAGTGATCAGCTTTATGGCTCACTTCTCCTTCCTTTGTTGAACTGAGCAGCCAACCCCTCAAGCTCGTGGCCGGTCTCACTCCACTGATGGCTTCGCACTCCTTTTACCACCAAACGAGTGAAGATCAGATGTATCTACTGCTCAAATTCTGAATTATACACTACTTTGCGGGAGGGTGTGTGAGTGTGAGAAGGAGAGAGAGAGAGTATTTTGGTGATATGAAGAGCAATACATCGGTCGCTTAATGGATCTCCAACCCCGCTATTCACTTCCTGCAACTCCCACCGGTAGGATGAGCCAAACAAGAACGAATTTTCTCGTAGTACATGGGTAGATGCATCAACACTCCGCTAGACCTCCCCTGCGCGCCGCTAGTACTGCCCGAACCACGAGAACCACTGATCCGGCTCAGAATCCGAGCTGGCCAATGAAGTCGCGCCATCGGAATTCCTCCATTCCAAATCACCTTTTGTGCGATTTTGTAAAGACACGAGCGTCATGCTTGTCCTTCACTTGTTTTCTCCTTCAACCTTCCTTCCGCAATCTCCCACACAGCTCATGCCTCACACAACGCAGAAACCGCCTCCCTATCGTGGAATCCAGGCCTGCCTTCGAACTCGCAGCCTCTCGAAACCCCTACCTGACTTTCCAATTCGCTTGATTCTATTGACGATCGAATGATATCCCGTTTTTCGCCATCTCCATCTTCGATACGTTACGATATCTCCGCGCAACACCCCTCTCAACTAACTCAAGTCCACTGATCTTACACCAAATCTAACTTCACAGTCTAATTGGTAGACACCAAAACCCCCCATCTTACTCCTTGTTCCACTCGGTTCCACTGAGAATCGAGTGAAAATTCACCTTTCCCATCTCTTTCACTTACCCGTTCTTCCTATCTGGCGCAATCGTTTTCTCTCACCTCTCCCCAAACGTTCTTCCTATCGCCAAACAGACTTCAATAATGGATTCGCCTGCCCAAAAAACCCTGACTCCGACCTTTACTTCGCTCGATTACATCAAGAATTGGGCAAGTTATCAGTTTTTTTGTCGTTGCTTCTCACTTCTTCTCTCTGCCATCTTTGCGCATGCACCTGACTCATTCCCCCGTTTAGGTTCACTCACCCGTTTTTGTCACCCCGCCGACCTTGTTCTTCCCTCTAACACTCCGTTCCTCCTCCCCTGCTCTCACCTCCCCTGTGCTGGCCTAGCCTCTGGTCGCACTTCGTACCGACGGGCCTCCAACCCGACTTCTTTCTCTGCGCTTGCTGCCCCGCTCACCAGCCTCATCGGTCTCCCGGCGGTCTGCCTCCACCTGTCCAGTCCATAGGCCAGCCTTCCGCTCAACGGACGCGTCTGCACAGTAGTGTCACTGCAGCCTTCGTCGTGGTACCCCCGCCGAGTGGCATTGAGCAGGGACTGCTGACGCTCATTGGGGGAGGGGACCAGAGGGGAGGCACAGTGTCCGGCCCATCGGAGAAGCCTGGCCCTGATGCTACCGGCTGGCACCTGGCTCGGACCCAAATGGGACGAAATGGAAAAATAAAATAAAATAACTTAATATAAAACGAGGGGGGCGGGACCTACCAGCACCTCCCCGGCCCTGCCATGTGGGCCCGCGATCGACCTTCCCCAACAAAAACTAAGGGGGAGAGTCCCGCGGGACCCTTAACCCCTCAGCCCTTCTCATCCAATGCTGCTTCGCCCCTAAGCCGCCGCCTGTTGGTCTCGATCCCCGCACCTCCGTTTCGCAAGTCCAATGCTGTATCCTATAGGGCTAGGCCCAAGCTTGAACTCAACATGCGAGGACTCTCATATGAACCAGTGCAGCACAACGGTCAGGGTCAAAAAAACGCTCGACCACTCCTCCACCCGCGCCGAGTGTGCGAGCACTAGACGTTCGCGCCGGTCTGTTTCGACTATACCATGGTTGTCGCCATTCCGCACGCCCAGCCTACCGCTGGTCGAACGTGCCGGATAGAGGGACAAAAATTTTGACTTCCTTACCCTAGTCAACAAATAAAACCCAGGCCGGCCGGCTACGCCGACCTTACGAACAATTCAAAGGAAAAAATCTCACTCGCGCCTTAAAGCTTGCGCGCCCACACACTCTCTGTTCTAAGTAATCATCTGGTCAGTGCGAGTCGCAGACGCAACCGTACCTCGTGTGGAAACTTAACTTTAAACCAAGGCTACTTTCTGTCTTTTGCTAAAAACAGGGCGAATACCCTTGTAAGTGTATTCACACCGACAGCTTACCGGACCATATTAAGCGACGTCCCCGTCGATTGCCCTGTTTTTTTGCAAACAACAGAAAGTAGCCTTGGTTTAACAATCAAACATATATATATACATAAATCTCATCACAGACTCTTCCTGCAGTCTAGTACAGGAAGGTCAGGTCTCCATCATGGCCCACCATAGTCTGGGTGATCATGCCAGATCTACGACCCACCGCGTTGTTATTTTAGCAGTAGTGCCCTCGCAGGTTGCGCCGCGATAGGCCTTTCCTGATAAGTATTCAATCAGGACCCAAAAAGACTTGACTCGACTCCTATCCCACGTCGTTCCGCAGGAGTAAAACCCTCTTAGTTGGCGACACCCCTTTAGGTCTTTACTCCCTTGGCAAAGACGTAGGCCCGCTGTTCAGGTTACGATGATCAGCAGCCGACACTAGGGGTTGCGCCCTAGTGATGCTTAACTTTACAGTTAGCTTGTTATTCTCATAAATGCCCCAAGAATAGCACAAGTGGTTGGGCCGTGTGTCGCAACAATACAGGCCTACTGCGGGACTACGCAAAGGTCTGGCACACATAAAAGTTATTTACCAGTCCTCTGTGGGACAACACAGAGAATCACGGCAACCTTTCCACATTCACAAAACAAAAACCACCGCCAGATCCACAAGGCCCCGACCTCTGGCCTGATCAGAGCAAGAGGCCACACATCCCAGCGACATCTCCAAATGACTCGATTTTGCGACCTTCAAAATTTCACCAATGGCCAAACAAAACTTGGTCCTTCTCGTCAGACTTTATCATTCAAATCAGCTTCCCATGCCATTAAATCTATTACCCTCTTTCCATATGAAGGATGTCTCTCTCAATAGGCCTCCCAGCCATCCCTTCTCTTTTCAGGATGAACTCCCATGCGACCTTTTATTAAAGCATTTTCCCTCTCTGACGATGAGTCTCCAATCAAGCACAAGACTATCTTTTTCATTTGAAGATGTCTCAACCATAGAACAACTCAAACTGGGGGACCAACTTACAGGTCCTCATCACAACTCAGCAATAAACATTCGGCATGGTAAGCAACCGAGTCTCAAGGACTCATAAATCCCTCAGGATTCTCATATTTTTCACAACAACAGACTGCACTTCCTCCCCTTATACCCGGCCCTATTATCCGCTCATGGGCAGATCACACAAGTATACTGAAGAGTAGACAGTCCACATTCATTCATTTTCACAAAACATTCATTATGTGAGATGTTTCTCATACATCCCCCACCCAAAGCCATCATACATTAGGACAAACCACACGTGTGAGAGTGATTGTGATCGTCATATACAAAGAATAGTCTCAAACAGTACACAACTCAAAGACACACTCAGGATGAGAGATCTCACCCAAAAACACACACAATGGTCCAGGTTTATGACTCACTTGGGCCTACCCAAGTCACTCTCAATATATTACATGACCAATTACTTTATAAAAAATGTTGCCGAAATGTACGCTGGTTCCGGAAATCAAAGTCAAAATATATACACACTGATACTCAATGGGAATCCGACACTGTAATCCCCTATATGTACATCTCACAGTGTAAATGTTCTGTCTCTGACAGTAATAGGACAAAAATGACCATACAACCAACTATCCAATCTGATATATGAAAACTCAACTCTGTCTACAATATCCTATTGGCTATCTGTACCTGGGCAAACCAGTCCCTACTCACTCATCTCCTCCTGGTTCTACCTATATAACTGTGCTCTACCTCCATTAGCAGATCTCTCCACCACTCGGCCCTGTCTATCATACATCTTCCCTGCACTCTCTGAGACCCTCCCTTCTGCCTTGTCCTTGAGGAACTTAGGGCACTCGAGGGCCCAATGTACGCCCTTCTTGCAAAAGAAGCAGAGTTGATCAACCTTCCTCTTGAATTTCTTCTTCCTTGGCTGCGGCGGAGGCGACGATGGGGATCCCATCGTGGTGCTGGCGACCTCCTGCTGCTCTGACTCCGGAGCTCGCTCCCCAGAACCAGATCCAGTAGCCCAAGATCCCAGCCTACTCCTCAGATCACCCACCTCCGGCACATACTCAGGCGTATCCAATCTTTGGGGCCTGCTCTCCCGCCTTTCTTCTGATACCACCATCGGCAGTCCCTCGCCTACAGTCTCAGTACTCAACTCTGGCATAGGCGTGCTTGCTTCCTCCTGCATGGTGTCCAGTGCCTCTAGAAGCACCCCCATGGGCCCTTCCATTGATTCTTGTGCCGACTCACTAGTGACCCCCTGTGGTCCCTCTTCGCCTGGCAGTGGCGAGGATGCTGGCGGAACTCCCAAAGGTTCCACTGGTAAGGTCGCGAACTCAGTCGGTGCCCTGAACACGAAGGCCTCCTTCTCAGCCTCCCTTTTTGCCTTAGCCTCTTCTGGCCCTAGGATGACCCTTCCAAGGGGTGGCCCTTGTGAAGGTCCTGCCTCAGATGGCTGTCCAAATCCTTGAGCCGCCTGTCCTTGAATGTCGTACCGCGCTCCTTCCGTTTGATCCACTACCTTCGTGGATGCCCCTTCCTTCTTCCTTTCTTCCAACAGGCTCTGAATGATAGCGGCCTGGCTGGTTGCTAATGCCCTGAGGTCTTGGACCTCCGCCTCCAGCGCTTCTAGGCGAACCCCATGACCTTCTTCCTTTGCCTTCTTCCCTGCCAGGTCACCCTCCAACATCAAGTACCTGTCGAAGCTTGTCCTGGCCAGAAACTGGATGCTCTTATCCAGAGTCTCCTCAACCTGTCTGGCCACCGTGAAACCTGCCCTTGTAGGCGACGCGAGTCCTTCGGTCCTCTGTTCAAAAAACTCTTTCCGCATGTATGGAATCCTTGGGGCCTTGGCTGGTGCGCTGGGTGGTTGGCATGGAAGCTCTCCTGCCGCCTCCAGTCTCTGCCTTTCCTGCCATATCTCCTCCAATCGTTTGCCTACCCTTATCCTCTTCTCCTTATCAGTCTCTCGAGGACGCGCTCTTCCGGCTATAGGGTGGATGTCATCTGGTGGGGCCTCAGTCGCCTCTGTTGGTGGCGGATGAGGCTCCTGCAACGGCTTTCCCCCTGGAACCTCCTCCAAATCGGGGTGCTCAGCAGCGTGCGCTGTCAGATACCTGTCTACCATAGAGACTACCTCCTTCCTCCAATCTGTCTCTTCCAGCTCCGTCTCCGCTCTCACTTCTGGCGACTGAATCGTGTCAGGAGGTAGTGGTGGTGTCTCTCCTCGCTGAGGCTCTCCGCCTTCTTCTCGAACATCCGTTGGCTCGGCCTCCACTTCTGGAGTCAGGGTTGGCTGTTGCGGAGGGGTATCCTCTCCTATCACGATCACCTCCTTTGTTTGCTGTTCTCTCTGGGCGAGGGGCTCGGCTTCCTGACCTCCACTGGACTGAGGCACCTCCCACTGCGAGGCGTCCAAGTGTGCTTCCAGGCTTTGTAGGGGACCCCCTGCCGGTGCGGCCTCCTCTTACACCTGTTGCGGGGGCTCCTGTAGCCTCCCCTCAGTGAAAGGCTGAAATGCTACTGGGCCTATTCCACATTCTGGATACATGCTTGGCTCCTGCACAGGTTGGTCGGGCTCCTCGTCTCTCCGTGCCAATGCCTTCCGTCCCCCTCGACTAGGGCCTAGGCTCTAGTTCCCTTTGCCTCTTACTTCTTTGCCGCCTCTCAACCCTAGGCTGAGGTTGTACTGGCTCTGGCCTCCGAAAGGCCTCCCTCAAGTGTGCCCTGCAACCTTCCCAGTCGCGTGCCCTATCCCGGATTTCTCGGGCCAACGGTCTCTCTGCTCTTCTTGTCCATAGTGGCAGTGTTTGCATCCATTGGTCTCTCAAGATACCTTGCTCGTGCAGAAACCGCTCGAAGGCAGGGATGAACTCCTCCGCATTCCCAATCTGGAGGCGGATTGGCTCCCCGTTTGCTCCTACCGGCGAAGGTCTCAGCCTCTGCATTGCCTATTCCTTAAGCTCCGTGGTCCAGTGTTTCGGCAGGTAATTACCTCGTAATTCCCACATGCTGGATCACATAAGATTAGAATCAGCGACCCATCATGTTTGTTGAACATCAGGGTCTCTGTCCTGCATAAGAATGATCTCCCCAGGAGAATGCCATGGTCCATGTCTGGCATTACGAAAAAACAAGTCTTGGCTTTTACTCTCCTGATCTCTAGGAGCACATTCGAGGCGGTCCCGCAGAACACGACCTTGTTGTTTGCCCCGTGCAAAATGGCACAAATCGAACGGCTTATTTCCAGCCCATACTTGAGTGTGTCTGCTTCGCGGATGATATTCATCTATGCTCCCGTATCCACCATCGCTGCACATTTGGAACCTTTTACCACTAAATCTACCATACCGCAGGCCACACATTTCCAGTCCATCTTCGTTCCCGGGTCCGCCTACTCCACGTCCTTAGGCAGAATCACACTAAGATGGACGCTCGGCACCAGCCGCCTAGAAAACCTACCCTTTAGCTCATTGCGGAGCCTTGGGGCAGACGCCAGAATCTCCTTCAGGGTCATAAGATCATTATGGCCCTCAAGCAGCCTGTCGATCACCCTTTCCACATCAAACCCTTTCTCAAGTCGGACTGCGTACTTCTTCGTCTTTGGCGTTGTGTCGCGCAAGACTGGTTCGGGCTCTTGCTGGGATCCCCTTTTCCTCGCCCTTTGCTCGGCCCGCCGGTCTTCCTCCTGTCGGAGCCTCTCATCCTCTTGATCTCCATCATCATCATCCTCTACCTCCACAGGCTCCTTTCTGCGTTCTGGTTCTGGCTCTCTTTGAGGAGGGTCCTGGCTTGCCCTCGCCTTTGCCTGTCCCCTAGTCTGTGCAGCCAATGGAGTAGGGGGCCTGTGGGTCATTCGAGACCTAGGTCCTGAACTCACCGTGGTAACTCCAGGGTATCCTTGCCTTCCCGGCATAGATTCGGGACCTGAATCATAAAGGAAGACATTGGGGATACCAACCCTCCAACTCTCTACTTCTTCACATATGTCCATGAGCTTTTGCCGGTACCAACCCATTTTGTCCCACAAATCTTCCATTTTCCCCAAAAGGATGGACGCTGGCTCGACCCTTTTACCCTCACTCTCATCGTTTGACTCTAGGCTCTTCCTTTATGACCCCCGCCTATAGTCTTTGAGTCACCTCCTCATCACCTTCCACTTCTTCCACTCCTATCGGCGGGTCATCCTTCTCCTGCCACAATCTGAAAGTGGCAGGCGGCGCTTGTCGTGCCGTTATCCTTCTGAGAGTTTCTGCCCTTACTCCACCAGGGACCTTCCTGTCAATATGATCTTCGAACTGATCATATATATCTCCGTCCATATTGGAGTAGATCAGTCCCACTCTTTCGTCTTCCCGCCTAGTATTGCAAAATCGTATAGTATGTCCCTGTTTATCACAATGCTGGCATAGGCGGTCCTCCAATCGAAACGGGCTCTGCCATACCCCTGACCTCCTTGATTCTCTTGGCCTTGTTAGCCCTGGTTATCCCAGCGCCCTCCTCCTCGGCCTCCGCCGTTTCTGGCGCGCCCTCTTCCACCACCTCTTCCTCCATTTCCTTGGTTACCGAGACCCTGGTCTCCTCCTCCTGCCACGCTACCTTGTGAACTTGGTGCGGGCGACGGAGGCGGTACCATGGGCTGGGCCTGTGCCGTAGGGTAACTTGGTGGTGGCATACTCGTTTGGGCCCCGACGTAAGGTATCATCTGCCCAGACGAGGTCGGGCTTTCCCATGGCACAAAGGTGTTAAATATAGGCCATGGCCACTGCCCGAATGGTGGTACCGCTGCTTGCGAGGGTCCCGCACTACTTGACGGTGCCGACGCATTTGGTGACGCTACTACCACTGCTTGGGGCGCCTGCCCCTTTCCTGAGCCCTGCCCCCCCTGTGTTAAGTTGCGCTGCTTGCGTAGCGCCTTCGAGAGATGTTGGGGCACCCACTCCTCTTCTTCCCATTCCTCTTGAACGACCTCCTCTAGCACCTGGTCCTTCCCTTTTCCCTGGACCGCCGTCACTACCTTCTTTTGTATCGCCACGTCCTTTCCATAGCCTAGCTCTGCAAGCACGTCGGTGACAATCCTCCTAACTCCTGGCGTCTCGGAAGCGGTCGCATCCCTTTCCTTCCTTTTTCGCCTTTGCAGGCGCATCTGGTGTTGTTCCACCTGGTCCAGACTTCCTTCCTCGACTCCCTTGTCGATAGTGGCCCAGGTGAGCTTTGCACTTCCCCCTCCATGGCTCGTCAACTCTGATGTTTCGGAGGAAGTGAGTAATCCGAAGAAAATGGCACACTGCGCTTCCTCAGATATTCCAGGGACTTTCCTCGCCTTTTTCTTGAATTCTTGCACAAAGGCTCCAACTGTTGTGAAATCATCCCTGTTCATGGCCTCCAAGTCAGCAGTAGTTAACAGGCCGTTGCCCAGCCTGTACTTCCTTTCCATCCCATCTTTAAACCTCGCCCAACTACCATTGGCGGCTTCCATAACCTTTCCCACTTCCTGATGATGCCCATGAAGTACGTACTTCAAGATTCGCTGGAACTTCACCTCGTCGAACAGTCCCACCAACGCTTGCTCGACCAGATCCAACCAATCAGAGACCCGTTCTCCATTGAAATGGAAAGTATCAACCTTAGGAACATTGCTCGACACCCTCTCTCGTCTGTCCAAGGCTTCGATGAGATCATCGAGGGTCAGGGCCTTTCCTGAACCACCTACCACCGCCTCAGGCATTTTGACCCGCTGTCCTTGCTTGGCTTCCCTGTTATAAGAAAGGACAGTGCTTCATTCAGTCCCTTAACTCGTCATAACTCCTTCAGTTCTAGCTCTATCTTCTAACAGTGTTTATTTCTTCCTCAAGGCATACCATACAGTCCTTCTAATCAATCACTTGGTCAATCCACAGGTCAAGACCATACGTAACTATAGCTTACACTAACAACAAGGCAATCCATCATACAGTCCATCTCATGAATTCATCCAGATTTCCCACATATGCCTGATTTTCTCTCAATCTAATAACCGGATGTCGTTCCACCAGGGACAATGGTAGGTTTCCGTTATCCCCGGCAACGGCGCCACCTGTCGAGCGCATCGGTCCGACACCACTCAAGGGCAGCGCGGGACCCTCCCGGCCGCGTCACGCAGGAGTTGGTTTTAATCCTTCGTCGCGAATATACATGGAGCTTCCGCAAGACGCTCCGGCCAAGTGCACCAGCCATACCTCTCGCGAGCCTCTACGACAGGATAGGGCCTACGCGAGGCACGACTTACCTCCACCTTACGGGAGTTGTCACCTCCCTTCGGTGGGCGTATCCCCAGCGAGGTACCAGTCCGCAGTACGAAAGCTAATAAATTGCAATCGCAAAGGTGGACCAGCCGAGGGCGTTTCTCGTTCGCTGTAGCATAGGGGGGTACAAGCGGTATTACGCCTCTTTCGGACCCGCACGCGAACCGATATCTTGGGGGGTTGAGGTCCCAAGCGCAAGTCGACGTCGGTCGACTAGGACGTGTCCTAGTCACCACGCAGACACCACTATAAGGAGCCTAAAAATAAAGGCACACACACACACCTATACATATACAGAACGACACTAGACGAACAACGCGACAACACTCCTAGTCCCTTTAGTAACCATCCTACAACTTTCCGATGCGGAAATCAGATAGGCGTCGCACGCAAGACTTAGTATAAAACCGCGCGGACCCAAGGTCTACGCATATCGACTAGCAATGCAATCATTCGCAAGCAGTCGCAATGAGGGCATACTATGTAGTACCCATGCTCATGCGGTCCTCGTTAGCCTCGAGGGTCGCATTTGACACTCAAGTGTCGGTTGACACGCGCCTTGAGGGTTAATCTCTCGATGTTGGACAACCGCCAAGTGCGGTTGGAAACCACACCCTCTTCTGCACCCTGCGGAGCAGCTTCATACCTGTTGTGGCAATCGTCTCTTATTGCCCTGGAGACCAGCTTCATCGTCTAGGGCCTGGAGATAAGTCAAGGGGTATGACTTTGACGGCTGCCCCGGACTACCACGTCCAACCATAATAACTCTAAAAAGCAAAAATAGGTCGAAGGCCTCCCCATTCCAACTCACAACCTTGGGTAACCTTTTCGGTTGGCACCAACAACCTATACTGATTCTGGACACACACGTATACGTACGAGTCCCCTAATCCCATAACTTTAAACACTAAGACGGGCGAACGTCGCGTGCAAGACTTTGATATAAAGTTGCGCGGTTGCAAGCCCTTCCTACATCAACCGGCGATGCTAGTCATACACGGCAATTGCAGTTTCGGCCTCGCAATATTGAGTGGTTGAAGGAATATATTGTGAGGGGTTGCCCCTTCATGATATTGAACGGCTGAAGGACATGTCGTTCAGCCCTCGCGACATTTCTGACCTCAGGGTTGGGTGTCTCGACGGGCAGGGTAGGTAGGCTCTGCGCAGGGGAAGATTCCTTCCCTGCAAGGTCTAGGGCCTAGGATGTCCTGGACAAGGACCTCGAATCCAGGCCTAGGGCTAACGTCCGACTAAAAAAAATCCCTAAGAAGCATACAACATTGTAGAAGGGGTTTTCTTTCTTTCCTCAATCCCAACCCCAATTTTTACCTTTAATTGTGGCACACTCAGGCCATGCGAACACCCAACATAAATACACATATATATAAGGGGGATAAGTATGTGACGATCACTTCTCACAATCACAGTGGGACTCCTCACTACCATATATGTATGTGTGATCGCAGGTAATCTAATCGAAAATTAGAACCATGGGACATACCTGCAATCACATTAAAGAGTCAGGCAAGAATCCACGCACTACACGGAGTCAACTCCAACCAATCTCTATACTCATACCCCTGGCCTTAGCCATGCAAATCCCAACTTCTGTCCAACCAACCATAATTAAATACTCGGTACCTTTGTTAAATGACCATTCAATAAAAGTCCGGGTGAAACCTTAACAAAACAATCAAATCACTAGGGCTAAAGCCTTTTAGGTCGAGTATTGAGGGTGAATTGGAATTGAGTCGTAAACCGACGAATCGGCAACCGACCTGTTATCAGTGATAACAGAAGGCGAATCTTGTAGGATCAAGCAAAACCTAGTCCTGATTTCAAATCAAACGCCCAGAAGGACCTGTAACATAAGACAGGTCAATCCCAAGCTAAATCTCCAAATCAAGTGTAACCTCCCTATCTCAATTCCACCACGAGTCATTCTACTTAACTAATCCTGGGTCTATCCTTGAACCAGTACCCAATGGAAAGGTAGGTCTTTGGCAGGATCTCCTCAAGTATAGAGTGGGCTGCCAAAATTGTCACCTGTCAAAATATAATCCAACTCCTCTAAACTAAGAAAATTTCGGCAGCGCTTCCCGTAGGAAAAACGCCTTCTCATAATTTATAATAACTCAAATATGAAAACAAAATCCAAAGTCTAATCCTGGAAAGCCAAAATTTGTCTAACTCCCTGAATTAGTAAGAATTTGAGCAACACTTCTTTTAAAAAGGTAAGACTTCCCAGATTTGTATCAAGTCAGTTATGAACTCAGAATCGATAGAGTGGGCTGCCAAAATTGTCACCTGTCAAAATATAATCGAACTCCTCTGAAGTAAGAAAATTTCGGCAGCGCTTCCCGTAGGAAAAAACGCCTTCTCAGAATTTATAATAACTCAAATATGAAAACAAAATCCAAAGTCTAATCCTGGAAAGCCAAAATTTGTCTAACTCCCTGAATTGCTAAGAATTTGGGCAACACTTCCTTTAAAAAGGTAGACTTCCCATATTTGTATTAAGTCAGATATGAAATCAAAATCGATACATGAGTTCAACTTAAGACAAAATCTGACTAACTCCTTAGATTTGTAAAAATTTTGGCAGCGCTTCCCGTAGAGACAGTGTTATTCCAAGATTTATACAAAGCTAAGTTCAGAATAAACAAGTGACCTTGACTTCTTAAAGTTCAATTTTGTCTAACTTTCTGAATTAGCAAAAATTTGGGCAGCACTCCTTTTAGAAACGAAGGTTTTCCATATTTTTACTAAGTCAAAGAGTCAGGACGACTGGACCCTGGAAGGGGCAAAATCTAACTAACTCTTTGGTTTTTGTAGAAATTTCGGCAGCGCTTCCCGTAGAGAAAGTGGCTTACCAAAATTTATACAAGACCAAGTATAATAAATGATCCCAGAAAAATGCAGAAATCAAC